TGGTCATCGGTTGGATCCTGGATTTTTAAATAGCTATGTGGTCTTTCTAAAAAATTTGGTAGTTAAAGAAATTTGACTATAGACTGAGTATTAGGTAATATTAAGAGAATTATTCATTTTAATGGGTATGGTAATAATGCCAATGGTTGTATGGAATAACGTTCTTATTCTTAGGAGATGCATGTTGAAATATTTAGAAATGATTTCATAATGTGTTGCAAGTAACTTTCAAGTAGTTCTGGTAAAAACAGAAAGAAAATATAGCCAAATGGAGATAACTGGTGAATCTAAGTGAAGGATGTCCAGATGTTCATTGTACTATTTTTGTACAAAAAACTGTACATATTTAATGTGTACAACTTGATGAATTTGGACATAAGCATACCCTTGTGAAACCATCACCACAATCTGTGCCATCAACCTATCCATCAACCTCCAAGTTTCCTCCTGCCTTCTTATTATTATTACTGTTAGCAATAAAAACACTTAACGTAAGACCTGCCTTCTTAGCATATTTTTAAATATACAATACAGTATTGTTAACTCTAGGCACTGTGCTGTATAGTAGGTCTCTAGGAGTTATTCATATTGTATAACTGAAACTTTGTATTCTTTGCCCAGTACCTCCCTGTTTCCCCCTGCCTGCAGCCTCCTGTAACCACCATTCTGTTCTTTGCTTCTATGAGTTTAGCTATTTTAGATTAATTGTACAAGTGGTATCATGTAGTATTTATCCTTCTGTGTCTGGCTTATTTCACTTAGCATAATGTCCTCTAGGTCTATCCATGTTGTTTCAAATATCTGGATTTCTTTCTTTTTTAAGGCTGAATAATATTCCATTGTATGTATATACTACATTTCTTTTTAAATTTTTTTTTCTTTTGAGACAGAGTCTCACTCTGTTGCTCAGACCGGAGTGCCATGGTGTGATCTCTGCTCACTGCAACCTCCACCTCCCAGCTTCAAGCGATTCTCATGCCTCAGCTTCCCAAGTAGCTGGGATTACAGGCATGCGTCACCATGCCTGGCTAATTTTTGTATTTTTAGTAGAGACAGGGTTTCGCTATGTTATGTTGGCCAGGCTGATCTCGAAGTCCTGGCCCCAAGTGATCCACCCGCCTCAGCCTCCCAAAGTATTGGGATTACAAGTGTGAGCCACTGTGCTCTGCCTGTACCTTGATTGTAAATTTTAAGCATTTAGTATAGTTTTAAGTTACTATTTTAAATCATATTAATCATTTTAATGTTTTATCAGTTATTTTTCCTTTTAATTGATGTTTGTTTCTTCGTAGTGGTTCTTATTATAATCTAAGGAGCACTTTTTCTTTTTTTTTTAATTGTACTTTAAGTTCTAGGGTACATGCGCACAACGTGCAGGTTTGTTATGTATGTATACATGTGCCATGTTGGTGTGCTGCACCCATTAATTAGTCATTTACATTAGGTGTATCTCCTAATGCTATCCCTCCCGCCTTTCCCCCACCCCCCTACAGGCCCCAGTGTGTGATGTTCCCCACCCTGTGTCCAAGTGTTCTCATTGTTCAATTCCCACCTATGAGTGAGAACACGCGGTGTTTGGTTTTCTGTCCTTGTGATAGTTTACTCAGAATGATGGTTTCCAGCTTCATCCATGTCCCTACAAAGGACATGAGCTCATCCTTTTTTATGGCTGCATAGTATTCCATGGTGTGCATGTGCCACATTTTCTTAATCCCGTCTATCATCGATGGACATTTGGGTTGGTTCCAAGTCTTTGCTATTGTGAATAGTGCTGCAATAAACATACATGTGCATGTGTCTTTATAGCAGCATGATTTATAATCCTTTGGGTATATACCCAGTAATGGGATGGCTGTGTCAAATGGTATTTCTAGTTCTAGATCCTTGAGGAATCGCCACACTGTCTTCCACAATGGTTGAAGGAGCGCTTTTTCTTTACTAGAACATATCTTAAATTAATGGGAATCACTGGATAAAATAGAATGGAATATATTCATAACACTAAAGAATGGATGCCATACTACATGGGTAGTGTAATATTAAAGAGCCAAGTAGGGAAAAAAGAAAATTTAATTTACTCTGAATATAGCTCCTAGTGTTGAAGATTGGACATGTCTTGATGGACTTTTGAAACTTTCTTTTGACCTGTACTGTTTCCCCTTTTGTGCTTTAACTAGATGAATCAGTTTTCTATCTTAGAGTTGCCTCGCTGGCATAGCTCTTCAGAAAACAGAGACTCCAGGGTAATGACATATGAGTGTTCAGAACTTACTTATCTCTATAGAGGAATTAATTGTCTGTTACACAGGGCAAAAGAGAAGTTTACATTTCTCTTAACTTGCTTTCTGCTTTAAACAAACATTTGTATTGGTAAGTTCTATCCGAATTTTTCTGTCATACATGCCTCTCCCCTGTTTCTTCATAGACAGAGACCCAGAAGGAATTGTGGAGAACATCTCATCAGAGCTTTCACTTGTCTTCTCCTATTTCTGAAGTACTCCAGAAGTGAAACAACTCTCTGGCTTACCTCCCACAGGCCTCTCTTGAAAGCAAGGTTTCTCAACCTCGTTTTGAGGAGGGGTGGGAGGAGGCTGTCCTCTGCATTGCAGGATGTTTAGTCTTTGTCCACCAGATGCTAATAGTACTCCAGTTTGTTGATTTTTAATTTTTTTTTTTTTGAACCTGGAGCCTTCCTATGTTGCCCAGGCTGGAGTGCAGTTGCTGTTCACAGGCGTGATCATAACTCACTGCAGCCTCTAACTGCTGGCCTCAGGTGATCCTCCTGCCTCAGCCCCCCGAGTAGCTGGGACTATAGGTATGTACAAGTCCTGTCCAGTTTTGATAATCAAAAATGTCTTCAGATATTGCCAAATGTCCCCTTTGGAGCAGAATTACCCTGAGAACTATTATTCTAAAGTAGTGTCCTCTAGTGATCCTGCCTGTGCCCTTGCAGGTCTATGCCACTGTTAGAATCAGGCTAACTCTTCAGAATTTCCCCCTGTGGCAAAGCTCACTTCAGCCAGAATTGGAATTACTTTCTGCAGGTAAATGGATTGCCATCGAGCCTCAGCTGATTTCACTCAATCCTCTCATGCTTGATGCATAGCAATGACCTTGTGTTTGATTTTTTTTTTTTCTTTTTTTGGGATGGAGTCTCACTGTGTCACCCAGGCTGGAGTGCAGTGGTGCGATCTCGGCTCACTGCAAGTTCTATCTCCCGGGTTCACTGCATTCTCCTGCCTCAGCCTCCTGAGTAGCTGGGATTACAGGCGCCCGCCACCATGCCCGGCTAATTTTTTGTATTTTTAGTAAAGACGGGGTTTCAGCGTGTTAACCAGGATGGTCTTGATCTCCTGACCTCATGATCTGCCCGCCTCAGCCTCCCAAAGTGCTGGGATTACAGGTGTGAGCCACCATGCCCGGCCTTGATTTTTTTTTTTTTTTTTTTTTTTTAAGGGATGAGATTTTTTGTTGTTGTTTAATTACCATCGTATCCAACCAAATCCCAATAGTGTCCCTCTAGCAAGACAGTAAAAAATGTCTCCGGGCATCCCTGGGGACAGAATCTTTTCCAGTTTAGGACTACTGATATAACCAAAGCCAGAAAGAGGGCTTATCATCAAAATCCACGGTTGTTCTTAGAAACGTTGTCAAGTTGCCATTAATTACCTTTCTGATAACTTGAGAAATGTGTCACAATCTCTGGAAAGAAGGATGCACGGCTTGCAAAAATATACTCAGTGTTGTAATATCATTCTAACTTGAATTACCCAACAAGAAAAGAAACCTTTTTTTTTTTTTTTTCTTGTGATACAAACTGGGAGTTTAATAAGATTTTTAGGCCGGGCACGGTGGCTGAAGCCTGTAATCTCAGCACTTTGGGAGACCGAGGCAAGCGGATCACGAGGTCAGGAGATCGAGACCATCCTGGCTAACATGGTGAAATCCCGTCTCTACTGAAAATACAAAAAACTAGCCGGGCGTGGTGGCGGGCGCCTGTAGTCCCAGCTACTGGGGAGGCTGAGGCAGGAGAATGGCGTGAACCCAGGAGGCAGAGCTTGCAGTGAGCTGAGGTCCGGCTACTGCACTCCAGCCTGGGCAACAGAGCGAGACTCCGTCTCAAAAAAAAAAAAAAAAAAAAAAAGATTTTTATGTATATGGAAAGGGCTTACAGGCCAGGCACAGTAGCTCATGCCTGTAATCCCAGCACTTTGGGAGGCCAAGGTGAGTGGATCACTTTAGGCCAGGAGTTTGAGAGCAGCCTAGCCGATATGGTGAAACCCTGTCTCTACTAAAAATACAAAAATTAGCTAGGTATGGTGGCATGTGCCATTTTGTATTGTCTTGCTAGAGGGATACTGTTGGCATTTGGTTGGATATGATTAATAATTAAACAACAAAAAATATCATCCCTTTAATCCCAGCCTGTAATTCCAGCTGCTTAGGGGGTTGGGGCATGAGAATCACTTGAACCCAGGAGGCGGAGCTTGCAGTGAGCCGAGATTGCACCACTGCACTCCAACCTGGGCAACACAGTGAGACTCTGTCTCAAAAAAAAAAAAAAAAAAAGATGTGAGGAGGCTTACAAAGGTTGCAAAACAGCCGTCAAAAATAATGATTAACCCTGTTTTCCTCACCTGTACTTCAGTCTGCTTCAGGATTCTCCTACCGGCACACCAATGTGATGTTCTCTTCTGCCTGAGGGATACCTGCATGTGACCCCACCTCCCAACATGCACACTAGTTTTTCACTGGATTTTTTTTCTAGAAGTCCTTTCTAGATCCTTTCCATTCTGGTCCTCTACTGAGTTTTAATGGGTTTTGACTGGGTATTGTTAGATAATGAATTGTAATGTATTTAAATGAATATTATTCCTGCTTGCTTTCATAGAATGTCTTTGTTAATTTAAACAGGAAAATGGCATCTCAGAATCACTAATCACAAAACCAAGATGTGAAAAATATTATAATGATAAGTTATCACTTTGCTTTATTTGCAGGAATCATTGTAGTCAATCATTTTCCAGTTCTCAGCCGCTCGGTTGTGATCAAGAGACACATGGTTTCCGAACTGCCAGCTCAGAATAGGAAAATACTTGGTAAGGGAGGCAGCATGCACCAACCCTGAATTCAGGACACTTGGGTTCATATCCTGGCAAGTTATGAAACCTTTCCGAGCCTTGAACATGTATGAAATAGAATCGATCACAGCTACCTTATGGGATCACAGTGGTTTCACTGAGATAATGTTTCTAGAGTGTTTAGCAAAGCACCTGGCATATAGGGTGGCAATAGGAATAGAATGCAATTGAACATGAGTCTTTAGTTTCTAATGAATTGAATTTTTCTCCTTCCTGAAGTGTTCATAGATTCTTAGAATTTTAGAGTGAGACTCTAAAATTTGTGATCCAATCCTCTTATTTTTTGGATGCAGAAATAGACCAAGTAATTTAACTGAAATCATCTCACTAGCAATTGGCAAAGCTTGTCTCCAAGTTCAGTGCTGTTTCATTTTTCCAGCTGTAATATTTGAATACAACTCTATGGAGAACCAAAAAGTCATTGGCATGGCAAATCATGCCTTGCTTCTTCCCTGCGGTGCCACGGTCATGCATTGCTGTACATCTCTGACTCATTTTGTGCCCAATGATGTTCCTTAGAAGTGACTGTGAGAATTTTGTGATTACAAAATTGATGCAGGAAAAGTTTGAGAAATGTGAAAATCACAAAGAAAATAAAAATCAGCTGTGATCTCATTTTCCAGAGATCGTCTACTCCTGACTTATTTTTAATTGGAAATGCTGCATCTTAATTTCTGGGGGTTTTTTGGTGTTATTGTTAGTATGGCTCTTAATGCTTCCTAATCCATCCTCCTGGCTGCTAATCAAAAATGGCTTAGTGAAAAGAATGTGAGGTCCAGATGAGGCTCAGGTGACAACTGACTGGGTGGTCTCAGATAAGTCACTTCCCATCTGGAAATCTACTTTATATCTCTATAGATTTGCCTGTTCCTTGCAGGTTTGTTAAAAAGGTATTAAGAAAAAAAAGACGTGTCTATTCCTGACTTCTCATCTAAATGCAGCTATATAATCTGTAGTTTTTTGTGACTGTCGTCTTTCACCTAGCATAGTGTTTTCAAGGTTCATCCATATTGTATCATATATCAGTACTGCATTCATTTTTATCATCCAGTGATTTTGCATTATATGGATCTACCACATTGTGATTATCCTTTCATCAGTTCATGGACATTTGGATTGCTTCCATTTGGGGGCTGTTATGAATAGTGTTATTCACATTTGTGCACAAGCTTTTGTGTGGACATATGTTTTCAGTTCTCTTAGGTACATACCTAGGGGTGGAATTGCTGGGTCATATGGTAACTGTGCCTAACTTTTTGTGGAACTGCCAGACTGTTTTCCATAGTGGCTGTACCATTTTATGTTCCTACCGGCAGTCTACAAGAGTTTCGATTCCTCCATGTCCTTACCAACACTTTTTGTCTGATTTCTTGATTGTAGCTATCCCAGTGGATGTGAAATGGTATCTCATTGTGATTTTGATCTGCATTTCTCTGATGGTTAATAATGTTGAGTATCTTTTTGTGTGTTTATTGGTCATTTGTATATCTTTTTTTGAGATGGAGTCTCACTCTGTCACCCAGGCTGGAGTGCAGTGGTATAATCTCGGCTTATTGCAACCTCTGCCTCCCAGATTCAAGTGATTCTTCTGCCTTAGCCTCCAAAGTAGCTGGGATTACAGGTGCCCGCCACCACACCCAGCTAATTTTTGTGTTTTTAGTAGAGACAGGGTTTCACCTTGTTGACCAGGCTGGTCTCGAACTCTTGACCTCAAGTGATCCTGCCACTTTGGCCTCCCAAAGCGCTGGGATTACACACGTGAGCCACTGCGCCCAGCCCATTTCTATATCTTTTCTGGAGAAATGGCTATTCAAATCCTTTGTCTATTTTTTTATTTGGTTGTCTTTTTATTACTGATTTGTAATAATTCTTGATGTATTCTATATAGACCACCCCCTTATCAGGTACATAATTTGCAAAATTTTTCTCCCATTCTGTGGGTTGTCATTTTACTTTCTTGATGGTATTGAGACGCAGAATTTTTAAAGTTTTCCCCCTTCCCTTGTCTTCTACAAAAAGTTTTTAATTTTGATGAAGTCCAATTTATTTTTTCTTTTGTTGCTTGTTCTTTTGGTGTCATATCTAAGAAACCGTTGCTGAATCCCAGAATCATGAAGTCTCCCTCCCTGTGTTTTCTTTGAAGTTTTATCGTTTTAGCTTATAAATTTAGGTAGTTGATCCATTTTGAGTTAATTTTTATGTATAGTATAAAGAAAGGGCCGGGCATGGTGGCTCACACCTGTGATCCCGGGACTTTGGGAGGCTGAGGTGGGTGGATTGCCTGAGGTCAGGAGTTCGAGACCAGCCTGGCCAACATGGTGAAACCCCTTCTCTACTAAAAATACAAAAAAATTTGCCAGGCGTGGTGGCGGGTACCTGTAATCCCAGCTACTTGGGAGGCTGAGGCAGGAGAATCACTTGAACCCGGGAGGCAGAAGTGGCAGTGAGCAAAGATCGCGTCACTGCATTCCAGCCTGGGTGACCAGAGCAAGACTCTGTCTCAAAAAAAAAAAAAGAAAAGAAAGGTCCAACTTCATTTTTTCATGTGTGGATATCCAGTGGTCCTAGCATCATGTATTGAAAATAATACATTAAAAAATGTATAGCTGTCCCTTGGTATATGTGGGGTATTTGTTCCAGGATCTCCACATACACCAAATCCTTGCATATTCAAGTTTCACAATCAATTCTGCAGAACCTGTTTATACAAAAAGTCATCCCTCTGTATATGTATACGCAGTTTTTGCATCCTGAAAATAGTATATTTTCAATCCTGGGTTGGTAGAAAAAAAAACAGCTTTTGAGTGTACCCACATAGTTCAAACCCATGTTGTTGAAGTCTCAACTGTAGTTTCTACTGGCTTTTTATCTGAATGTGGGGGGTATAGTGTGGTGGGCTCTTCTCTCATTCCCCCAGTTCCTCAAAGTCTAGATTGCATGCCTTTTAATCCACCATTGGAAGTCTTCTGATTCTGATTTAATTGGTCTGAGTTGATGCCCAGGTATGAGCATTTATGAAATGCTTTCTAGGTGATTCTCATGTGCAAACCAGGTTAAGACCTAATGAACTAAACACTTAATAGTCATAAAGAGGACCAGAAAGGAGTGATTGGGAGGCACACTGCTTGGAAGAGGAGATGTGCTGGTGTGTGCTGGGTTGTGTTGTAACAACGTGACTATGTCCTCCACCCTACAGGTGGCAGCATCTCCTTACTGAGAGAATACACATGTACTATGCCAGTACTTTTTGAGGCTAGAAGCACTGTAGGAATGAAGTATGTGATATAAAAGGACCCTCTGTATTAAAAATAAATAAATACATAAAGCCCAGTAGAAGAGAGCACAAACCCAAAGAAGCACTCTTCTTCCTCCTGTAAATGAAGAAAAATATTATTGTTCTGTAACATAAACACTTTTTAAAATAGCTATTTAATTATTTTATCTTATTGTATTTCTCCAGAGATGGGATCTCGTTCTGTCTCCCAGGCTGGAGTGCAGTAGCTCACTGCAGCCTCAAACTCCTAGGCTCAAGCAATCCTCCCACCCCAGCCTCCCAAGTAGCTGGGACTACAGGTGTGTGCCACCAGGCAAAGCTGATTTCTAAAATTTGTTTTTCTTTTCTTTTTCTTTCTTTCTTTTTTTTTTTTTTTGAGATGGAGTTTCGCTCTTGTTGCCCACACTGGAGTGCAATGGCGTGATCTCGGCTCACCGCAACCTCCACCTCCCAAGTTCAAGAGATTTTCCTGCCTCAGCCTCCCGAGTAGCTGGGATTACAGGCACCCGCTACCACACCCAGCTAATTTAGTATTTTTAGTAGAGACAGGGTTTCTCCATGTTGGTCAGGCTGGTCTTAAACTCCTGACCTCAGGTGATCCGCCTGCCTCGGCCTCCCAAAGTGCTGGGATTATAGGCATGAGCCACCGCGCCTGGCCTCTTTTCTTTTTTTGTAGAGGCGAAGTCTCATTATATTGCCCAGGCTGGTCTTAAACTTCAGGTCTCAAACGATCCTCCTGCCCTGGCCTCCCAAAGTGCTGGGATTACAGACATGAGCTATTGCGCCCAGCCTTGGAACTATTTAATTTCATTTTACAAATGATACAGAGAGAACTCTACTTTGCCCCATTAGTTTTTACCTTTTGTTCTCTGGACATGATGAAACAATCTGGCTTTAAAATAACTATAAGAACACAAATTGAATTTTTAAATTAGTTAAAAATCTTAAGTCTTTTAAGTATATAAAATACAAATAAAATATGCCCTTTATTTTCTAAAATTGTATTTGTAGAAAAGCATGAGGACTCTGTTTGCTCTAGAAGAAATTTAAAAAAGAAGTAGAAAGAAAAGTGTGAGGACTGCAAGCCACATGCCATGGTTTTTGTGTTGTCTGAAATCTTTGCTCTGCAGTCACCTTCAGTAATCTTCAGCGATCAGTTCTTCCTCTTTTTTTTTTTTTTTTTTTTTTTTTTCTGAGACAGAGTCTTGCTCTGTTGCCCAGGCTGGAGTGCAGTGGCCAGATCTCAGCTCACTGCAAGCTCCGCCTCCCGGGTTTACGCCATTCTCCTGCCTCAGCCTCCGGAGTAGCTGGGACTACAGGTGTCCGCCACCTCGCCCGGCTAGTTTTTTGTATTTTTTAGTAGAGACGGGGTTTCACCGTGTTAGCCAGGATGGTCTCGATCTTGTGACCTCGTGATCCGCCCGTCTCGGCCTCCCAAAGTGCTGGGATTACAGGATTGAGCCACCACGCCCGGCCCAGTTCTTCCTCTTGTGTTGCTAAAAATCTATCTGGTATAATTGGAAAGAAATAATTGATCAACAACACTATGCATAATCCATTTTTTTTATTTTAGGAAATCAGTAGCAGATCTCCCATCATTGGTGTCAGAAATCTTTTTTGGATGTCGTTAGTGCTTCAGAGTCCCATTAGGATATATTGTGCTCCAGACCAGTGCTCCTCAGTGTTTGGGAACTAGTGCAGGTCTGTAAACTGTTCCTGGCCCACAGTTAACTAGTATTTTAAAACTTGTTTGGCAATTTGACATTGTCTCTACGTATTCATTGTGTTTTATAAAAGTATTGGTCTGAGAGGATTGCAGAAAACACAGAACAGGTCCTTCTTTACAGATGGTCAAGTAGCTTTGAAGAGGAAGTACCTAAATAAACCACCTTTCTTTTTACATTTATTTTCTCTCCGTCTCTCTCAGGGATTTTATATTGGAAGACATGGATCTTGCTGCCAACGAGCTCAGCATTTATGACAAACTTGCAGAGACTGTTGATTTGGTGAGACAGACAGGCCATCAGTGTGGCATGTCAGAGAAGGCAATTGAAAAATTTATCAGACAACTGCTGGAAAAGAATGAACCTCAGAGGCCCCCCCCACAGTATCCTCTCCTTATAGTTGTGTATAAGGTAAAATGTTTCCTGAGTTGGTAGTTGCTTCAACAGAGCACAAACTCTTCAACATTCTTCACAAATGCTGTTGTTGACTGATCCCACCACTGAGCCTTGGTTTTTCTGCGAATGAATTGGCCTTTGCTCTTGTTACTGTGTGTTACTAGGAAATTTGACTGTGTTGTTAAAGGTCCTAGATGAAAGCTGCATATTTATAGTTAAATTATATTTGCATATTATTATTTATTTTATTATTATTATTATTATTTGTTTGTTGTGTGTGCGTGTGGTTTTTTTTGAGACGGAGTCTCACTCTTGATGCCTAGGCTGGAGTGCAATGGCGCGATCTCGGCTCGCCGCAACCTCTACCTCCTGGGTTCAAGTGATTCTCCTGCCTCAGCCTCCCCAGTGGCTGGGATTACAGGCGTGCACCACCACACTGGGCTAATTTTGTATTTTTAGTAGAGACAGAGTTTCTCCATGGTGGTCAGTCTGGTCTTGAACTCCCGACCTCAGGTGATCCACCTGCCTCAGCCTCCCAAAGTGCTTGGATTACAGGCATGAACCACCACACCTGTCCTCCTTGTGTTTTTTTTTTTCTTTTTTGAGACCAAATCTCGCTCTGTTGCCCAGGCTGAAGTGCAGTGGCATGATCTCAGCTCACTGCAACCTCCGCCTCCCAGGTTCAAAATTGAGTAGAGACAGGGTTTCTCCATGTTGGTCAGGCTGGTCCTGAACTCCCGATCTCAAGTGATCTGCCTGCTTCAGCTTCCCAAGGTGCTAGAATTACAGGCCTGAGCCATTGCGCCTGGCCAAATTTTTATTTTTCTAGTCAAGGTCACACTCCGTTGCCCAGGCTGGAGTGCCGTGGTGCCATCATGGCTCACTGCAGCCTCAAACTCCCAGACTCAGGTGATCCTCCCATCTCAGCCTCCCAAGTACCTGGGATCACAGGCATGCGCCACCACACCTGGCTAATTTTTCTATTTTTTGTAGAGGTGGGGTTTTTCCATGTTTCCCAGACTGGTCTCAAACTCCTGGACTCAAGTGATCTGCCCGCCTCAGTCTCCCAAAGTGCTAGGGTAACAGGCCTGAGCCACTGCACCCAGCCTTTATGTATGTATTTATTAGTTTTTTGAGATAGAGTTTCACTCTTGTTGCCCAGGCTAGAGTGCAATGGCATGATCTTGGCTCACTGCAACCTCTGCCTCCCAGGTTCAAGCAATTGCCCTGCCTCAGCCTCCCAAGTAGCGGGGATTACAGGCATGTGCAACCATGCCTGGCTGATTTTGTATTTTTATTAGAGATGGGAGTTTCACTATGTTGGTCAGGCTGGTCTCGAACTCCTGACCTCAGGTGATCCACCCACCTCAGCCTCCCAAAGTGCTAGGATTACAGGCATGAGCCACTGTGCCCGGCCTAATATTTGTATTTTTAGTAGAGGTGGGGTTTCACCATGTTGGCCAAGCTGGTCTCAAACTCCTGACCTCAGGTGGTCCACCTGCCTTGGCCTCCCAAAGTACTGGGATTACAGGTGTGAGCCACTGCGCCCAGCCCCTTTGTGTTTTTGTTGTTGTTGTTGTTGTTGTTTTTGAGATGGAGTCTTGCTCTGTCACCCCGGCTGGAGTGCAGTGGTGCGATCTTGGCTCACCGCAAGCTTCGCCTCCCAGGTTCAAGTGATTCTCCTGCCTCAGCCTCCCAAGTAGGTGGGACTACGCCCACCACCACACCTGGCTAATTTTTTGTATTTTTAGTAGAGACGGGGTTTCACTGTGTTAGCCAGGATAGTCTTGATCTCCTGACCTCGTGATCCACCTGCCTCAGCCTCCCAAAGTGCTGGGATTACTGGTGTGAGCCACTGCACCCAGCCCCCTTTGTGTATTTTTAAATGGTGGATTTAAAAATACACTGATTATATGGTAGCAGCTTGGTGAGCCTTGCAGTCCCCATAGTTCTCAAATTCTAAATTCTTCCAGAAGTAAACATAAGTGATTTGTTTATGAAAGTGGGTTGGTTCTTAAGGCACATTGGAAATAGCAGAAGAGGCCTATTTTGTTTTGTTTTGTTTTTCTTGGTATTAAGGTATTTGTTTGCTGGGATGATTATTAATGCCTTTTCTACCTTTCCTTGTAGGTTCTCGCAACCTTGGGATTAATCTTGCTCACTGCCTACTTTGTGATTCAACCTTTCAGCCCATTAGCACCTGAGCCAGTGCTTTCTGGAGCTCACACCTGGCGCTCACTCATCCATCACATTAGACTGATGTCCTTGCCCATTACGAAGAAGTACATGTCAGAAAACAAGGGAGTTCCTCTGCATGGGGGTGATGAAGACAGACCCTTTCCAGGTAAAATGCAACATTTACTACTTATTAGATATAGTGTTCTTGACAGTATATGATAGGAAAGGAAGTAACATTTATTGATACCTAATGAGAGGCACCCTTCCTATATTGTCTCCTTTAATTCAGTCCCCACTAAAACTCTGTGGGATGGGGTTTATTATCCCCATTTTACAGATTAAGAAACCAAGACTCAGAGAGATTAAGAAACTTGCTAGAGGAACATCTGATAGAGCCAAATTCACACCCCCAAATTCCAGAACACACATGATGGGGACGAATGTGTTGCCCATAAAAAGGATTTGATTGTATCTCATCCTTTTCTCTCCTGTGATTCCTGTCCATAATGCATATTTAGTACATAGGTATTGGTTTATTGAAAGCAACTGAGTTCAGCTTGCTTCTAAAGGTCCTCTAACAGTCCTTGGCCTGTTGGGCTAGGTTTTTGCCTAAGTATATCCCACTCTTTCAGTTTAGTCCTTCTGTCTGTCACAGCTCATTTAATTTAGTGCTCAAAAGTGTATCAATTTTGCCAGTAAATCGAATTTTAAAAACACATAAATTTAGTAACGGTGCATCAGTGGCGTAAGAATTCATAGTTTGACAGACTATTTGAGGGGTTTCCTTTTGAGAATAGTGTAACATGTAATACGAGTCGAAATTTACTTTTTCGGGCTGGATGCGGTGGTTTACAACTATAATCCTAGCAATTTGGGAAGCTAAGGCAAAAGGATTGATTGAGTCCAGGAGTTTAAGACCAACCTGGGCAACATAGCGAGACCCTGCCTCCAATTTTGTGTGTGTGTGTGTGTGTGTGTGTGTGTGTGTGTGTGTGTGTAAAGAAATTTACTTTTTGAGAAAGGGGGATATTATTTTGGGTTTTTTTTTTTTTTTTTTTGACCGAGTCTCACTCTGTCACCCAGGCTGGAGTGTAGTGGTGTGATCTCAGCTCACTGCAAGCTCCGCCTCCCGGATTCATGCCATTCTCCTGCCTCAGCCTCCCAAGTAGCTGGCACTACAGGCGCCCACCACCACGCCCAGCTAATTTTTTTGTATTTTTAATAGAGACAGTGTTTCACCGTGTTAGCCAGGATGGTCTTGATCTCCTGACCTCGTGATCTGCCTGTCTTGGCCTACCAAAGTGCTGGGATTACAGGCATGAGCCACCGCGCCCGGCCTATTTTGGGATTTTTTTGGTGATGTTTATCTTATTTGGCAATTTAGAATAATATGTATATTAATATCACAAATGGATTATAGAATTTATTGTGTAACCATGTTCTGAAACTTTTAGAATGTGTCATAACTTTTAGGAAAAATGCTTTCAGAAAAAATGTATTTAAGCTTTATAATCATAATGTCATTCTTTAAGACCTAATCAGTCATAAAAATCATCCCTTGGATTGGGTCTCCATTGAAAGCTATTTTTGTACACTTGAGGAAGTCATGGAAAGGTTTCCAAAATTGTATCAAACTCAGAGGAAGGGAACATTGTAAGACAAGAACTCCACCTCATGAGTTTTTGTTTTTTTAAAAATCAACAGCTCAGATATTTCATTTGAAAATTCCAGATATAACTTCCTTGAATTTATTGGGAAGGTTGTTTTTGAAATGTCATCAACAGAGCTGGAAAAAAAAAAAAATGCAGTCTCAAACTCCTATCAGAACGGTTCAGAGCATTTGGAGGAAACAGCGAGAGAAACTTGTCAGTTGGGCCAGTCTGTGCCTCTTCCTCAGACACACCAGTCTCCTTTCCTGACTGTCTTCCCCCGACAACCTCCCTAATGGCAACTCCTGATGAGTTTTCACGATCTGGTTGATGGCATTATCTTCTTCCCTGGTCCTATGAAGTAAATCTCCATACACGGTTGAATTGAGAAATGGGGCATCCTCAATGAACACTGCTTGCTCCTTCTCTAAATCATAGTTTAAACATTCCAGAAACATTAGTGTCTTGTCAACAAGCAGGATGATTTGGACCACTTCAAATCAATATTTTGCCTTGCAGATGGAAATAAAACAAGTCCTTGGAGCTCAGTTGCAGAGAGAGCGAGTGAGCATTGGAAGGGTGTGGCTTTAGCTCTTTAATGTTGTTGATTCTATTAAAGTGCTGTTTTTACTTGTAAATGTGGACGTGGAAGCACCATATTTTCCTATGGATGATAATTCTGGGAAGTTGTAGACATGTGAAACTAACAGCATTTTGCATAGCATTTGGAAGAAAAGTTAAAAATGCATAATTATATGAAGGGTCAACAGAAACACATGAGGGAGAATTAAATGCAACTTAATCTGGGCCTGTAAGAGGGCAGGAAAAGTAAAAATAGATCATTTTTAATGTCCCGGTGTCAGAAAACAACTACCTTCAAGTTAGGATTACTTAGCTGTGCTTTTAAAGTAAATGCAAGGGGAGAATGGTGTGGCAGATGCCCCAAAGGAAACCCCATATGGTTTCCTGAAGTGCTGGCCTGTCTCACCCTCCCAGGGTCATCTGGTGCTCCTTGCAGTGGCACCTCAGGAATGATGGAGGGCAGCTGCAGCCTTGGTGATATATAAGAGGCACCATCACCAGTGACTAGAAGTTTCCCCCCGACCCCACCCAGGGAACAAAAAGGTGACAGAAGTGGGGTTCTTTTTCTAGATTTCAGCCTTAGATAGGAGGAAATCCTGCCCCTAAATGCTCTCAATAAGAAGAATGAAGTGACTTCATAGCGAGTCATGGAAACATCCCACTCTGCAGCAAAAAATAAGTAAATAAACTGATACTTGCTTATTACTTACCAGATGCCAGACCCTGTTCAGGGACTTTCCATATATCAGCTTATTTAATCTTGACAACATCCCTATAGGGTAGCTTCAGGTTTTATGCCCATTTTACAGATGAGGACACTGAGGCACAGTACAGTTAGGTCACTTGCTCAAGGTCCCAAGTCTAGTCATGGAGCCATGATTTGAACCCAGGCAGCCAGTCTTCAGAGTCTGAGCCCTTCACCTCTGATGTGAGTAGTCTGTAGCCATGCGGTAGACTGAAGAGTCTAGCTTTAAGTCTGATGTTGGAGTTCTACACTCTCTCTCTCTCAGATCATCAGTTACTTTCTCTTAACTTCCTAGTCCCTGAAGAGACAATGTTCTTTCTAACTGTTCCAAAGATAAGTGGTCTTTCAAGCTATGGACCCTTTAGAATTTTCCTGACCTGGTCTTGTCTTAGACATTCAGTCCAGCTCATCCTCCTAGTCTGCACCCATATGGATAATATTTGACTGACTTAATCCTTCCTCTTACCCAGAGTTTTCTCTTTACATTCACATTCTTAGTTTTTTTCTCCCCTCCTGGACTCATATCTTTATAGTCCCTTTACTCCTGCCAACCATCCCCTTGGTTTTTACCATTTCCATGGAATCATTGAGTCTTAAAGCTGAAAAAGAATTTTAGATTTAATCTGGTACATACCCCATTTTATAAAAGAGGTGACTGAGGCCAGGAGAGGTAAAAGAGCTTGCTTACCCAGCTAAAACTGACAAAATCACAATTGAACCCTAGTTTTTTAACCCCCTCTAGCATTCTGTCCAAGATACCACACTTACTGCCTGCCATCTCTGCCCCCAGTCAAGCCAAGCACCAGCATGTTCGGCCAATTATTTTGTTTACTTTGGTCATTTTCTGGCCAATTTAAAAATAACACATTCATTTTTACTGAAGAAGCCTGGGATAGTTCTCACATACAGTGAAAAGGCACACATTTGGAACTTGATGCATCCAGTGACCTTCAAAGGAAGGATGAAGTAGATCCAGCAACATCAAGAAGTTTTGGAAATAACAGATCATTTATTGGCCTCAAACTAAGAACCTAGGGAGACTTAGAGAGTCCAGACCTGTGCTCAAAGATGAACTGCTTAGACCTCAAGGAAAACCTTACTCTTTTGTTTGCAAAATAAGCTTACCTTCTGTGATAATAATGGCTCTGTCAAGCACTTACTGTATACCAGGTACTGTGCCGTGTACTTTATATGTATATCTCAGTCTTCATAGCAGTCACATAAGGTAGATACTGTTTTTATGTTCATTTCAAAGATGAGGAAACTAATGTGCAAGGGGATTGACTGACTTATCTGAAGTCTCACATTTGTTTATTTTTAATTTTTTCCTTTGCTGTGTTTTTGATAATAAATTTTCACATTAAGAAACAAATTGTTGTACAAGTGAAAACTCATGAAAATAGACTTTGTCTGTGGTTTGGAGTGGTTCAAATGCATTGCTTCCTGGAGGCAAGGCTGTTGGTAAAATGATTTCTTGGGCTCTTTCCCTCTCTGCAGTGTGTGAAAATGGCTCTGGGCATGGTGCCACACATGCAGGGACCTGGCAAAAGCCTCCTTCACTGTCAAGGCTTCACCCCTGCCTCATGCCCAGGGTACTAGAAGAGGTGCTATGCAAAAACAAGCTTCCGGAGAACAGCCTGATTAAATATTGAGCACACACTAGTTAACGTCATGGGAACTTGGTCATGGGCTTTGCAGCTTTTTCTCGGGTGCATTTATAATGTAAGAAATCATGAGGTTATATTTATTTTATCTTTATTTTGAGGTTTCTGTGAATCCAGATTGCTCATTTGATTTTTCTCCCCATGGACTTGATTCTGTTGTTAAAACTTCTGAAAAATCAGCCTTCCTACCTACCTTCCTGCCTTCCTCCCTCCTTTTCCTCCTTCCATCCCTTCCTCCCTCTCCCCAACTTCATTCACTCATTCAATAAATGTTTATTGAGACCTTGCTCTATATGCCAGGCACTGTTCTCAACAAAGCGGTGAACAAAACAGACAGAAAATCTGTATCTTGTAAAAATCTGTATCTGAAAATCTGTGTCTTGTATTCTGTCACCTTATTAAATTCTCTTTTTAGTACTAACAGTTTTTTACTTGTGTTCTTAGACCCTCAAGGAACACCACCTCCAAGTTTTTCTTTCAGTTTGCTATTCCTACTTTCTTTTTCTTTCTTGATTTCCCTTTACTGGGTTTTCTTCTACCTGCTTTTTAAAGGCATCTCCACCTGGAAATCCCAAGAATATCTAAAGCTCAGAATAAAATTAAAATTAAATAAATTACGCTGGACTGGGCGCAGTGGCTCACGCTTGTAATCCCAGCACTTTGGGAGGCTGAGGTTGGTGGATCATCTGAGGTCAGGAGTTTGAGACCAGCCTGGCCAACATGGTGAAACCCCGTCTCTACTAAAAATACAAAAATGAGCCGAGCTTGGTGGCAGGCACCTGTAATCCCAGCTACTTGGGAGGCTGAGGCAGGAGAATCGCTTGACCCCGGGAGGCGGAGGTTGCAGTGAGCCGAGATCATGCCACTGCACTCCAGCCTGGGTGACAGACCGAGACTCCATCTCAAAAAGAAAAAGTTGTAGTTAAAATAATTCTCCTAACTCTTAGGTTAAGAGCTGCTCGCTGCTAGCCCATGCGCACCTTTGTACAAATTCGAGGAAGGTGCCCCTTTCTCCTGGTGCTTTACTCTCATCTCCTGGGAAGATTGTCATAATTAACTGATTCTGTTGGAATATGACACACTGCTGCAGAAAAGTGTCATAATAAATCTGGAGATGACGTTCCCTAGATGAACACTAGACATGGACGATAGCATGATGACACTGACCAAGAGGACAGCGTAGTGCAGACATTCACAGTAGTGCTGCTTGGGGCTGTAGGTTTCATCCTCACTGCCTCTAGAATCCACCCCTCTTTTCCATTCTCACTGCCTCATTCATTATATTTCACTTCTCATCACAGTGGAACCCCCCCCACCCCGCTTTCCCTAAAAACGGGCAAAACTAAAATATAACCAGGTCTTCCTTTTCCCAGCCTCTCTTCTAGGGCACCCTAATCACAATCCAGAATAATCTTCCTAGAACATGGAGAAATTCCTGCTCAGAAGCCTCCAACAGTTCCTCTTTTTGTTCTGAATGGAGTCAGACATGCTTCAAGCCCTGGAAGCCCTCACCACATCTCCCTCTGCAGCCTGTTTCCTTACGCAAACCCCCACTGCACGCCCAGCATCTCCTGTGTTCTTCCTGCCACACTCTGGCACCTCAGAAACTTCCTATCACCTCTGACTTTCAGTTTGTTCATCCACAGAATGAGAATAGTGACTCCTACTCAGTAATTACACAGTGAAAATTAAATGCTATAACATGGGAAAGTGACTACCATAGGGCAAGCACTCAGTGCGTTAGCTTTCTTTCTCCTTCCCCTTCCGTTGCTATATAATTGTAACATGTTGTTATGATTATGCCTCATGGTGTGTCCATTACCCAGAATTTTTGCATATTGGCAAGAATTTGTCGTATTTGACCCTGAATAGGAAACATTTGAAAATATTAGAGAAGAAAAATGCAACTTTGCAGCCTCAGTGTGCCACTGAAACAAGTGGCACTAAAGGGTTGTCAGCTACCCCCGGAGCACAGTGGGAGGAGAGGTGCCGTCCCAGGAGCAGACTGTATCAGTAATCCTCTGGCTAATAATCTTCCTGCAGGTTGAGACTGGCTGAGAAAGGTAGGTGGCAGTTGACTCCCGGAAACACAGATACTATCTGCAAGAGATGGAGGATGCTCAGGAGACCGGCCAAGAACAAACACGGTCCTTCCCTGACAAGGATTTCCTATGCCCCACTACTACTGCCTCAGAGAAAACAAGGATAAAGCGCTTACTGCCAACCACAGAAAATGTTTTGTGGTTAAGAGTCAGTTTCCAAGTATGTTTATTGGTTTAAAAACTTGACTTCGTTTCAGCCACATTTGGTTGTCTGTTATCATTTGTTGTAGGCTCTCTCCTGATTTGGTTTCCATTGGGTTTTAATCAGAACCATCTTCTGAAACATTTTAGATTCAAAGCAGAGTTTAAAACAAACACATCTCTCAGAGAACACAGATGAAATCCAAAATGGAACAGAAAGTAAACAAGAAATAATGAAATAACATTATAAACAGCATGGCAACAGAGGGAAGCTGGGAAAGGCTGTGCAGAAACAAGAGCTCCTCAGAGAAGGAGCCAAACCAGACAGGCGTGTCAGGGAGCCGCTGTCACTCACAGCAGGGTCTGGGTTGGGAGTCTTCCATTTCTGACCAGCATGTGGGGCTGGAAACTATGGCTGGCGGTCCCACCCCGTCCTGAGCTGGGATAGAGGGCTGTCTTATGGACAGATACAATTCACTTTATTCCAAAGATGGCTCCAGAAAAGTCCTGTCTACCCTCTCCATCCCTTCCCTCTTCTATGCCCTTTTCTCACTCTTCCTTCCCAGAGTCCTGGCTCCCATGTGTACTTGTGAACCAAGGATCTAGGCACACATCCAGCATGTGTGAAAAGTGCATTAGGGCACAGCGATGATGGGGTCACCCTTCTATCCACACCAGCCCCCCTGTGCTGTAGACATTTCAGCCCTACGGGTCATAGGTTAGAAAATGTTGGGAGAACTACATCTTTAGCTCCACACTGCTGAAAGTTTTTCCTAGCTGTTACGCTTTATTTGTTGATTTGATTTAGGAAATGCGTGTGCAGGTTAAAAGATATTTTCCACAAAGTGTAAAAAGGTATACAGAGAAGAGTACCTCTCCTTCCTGCCTCTGTCCTCTACTCCCTCCTCAGAGGCTGCTTCATGTGGACCTTACCTTTTCGGCGGTCTCCAGGGCTTATCATTGTGTGTTTTAAAAATCATTATGGGCTGGATGCGGTGGCTTGCGCCTGTAATCCCGGCACTTTGGGAGGCCGACGTTTGGGCAGATCACTTGAGCCCAAGAATTCAAGACCAGCCTGGGCAACAGGGCAAGACTCCGCTCTAACTAAAAATACAAAAATTAGCCAGGTGTGATGGCATGCCACCCGTAGTTCCAGCTACTCGGAAGGCTGTGGCAGGAGAATCTCTTGAACCCAGGAGGCAGGGGTTACAGTGAGCTGGACAGTGCCACTGCACTCCAGCCTGGGTGACAGAGTGAGACTCTGTCTCAAAACAAATAAATAAATAAAAGTCATTCTGATGTCTTTCCTTTCTTGTTGCGTTGCTGGAGCTACTGGATGTACCAGCTGTGCTCTTTCAGTATCTGCTTTCTGCTCTTTCAGTATCTGCTTTCTCCATATCCCTTCCTCTCTCAGACTTTGACCCCTGGTGGACAAAGGACTGTGAGCAGAATGAGTCAGAGCCCATTCCTGCCAACTGCACTGGCTGTGCCCAAAAACCCCTGAAGGTGATGCTCCTGGAAGATGCCCCAAGGAAATTTGAGAGGCTCCATCCACTGGTGATCAAGGTGAGCAGAAGCCTGAGTCTCCCACTGATTGGCTGCTTGCTTAAAGGCTAGGTCAAACTCTAGGAAATTTCTGACAAGTAACTCTGTGTTGTTTTGTTTTACTTTGTTTCCTGCCTTGCCAAGACGGGGAAGCCCCTGTCGTCAGAGGAGATTCAGCATTTTTTGTGCCAGTACCCTGAGGTGATAGAAGGCGTCACTGAAGGGTTTTTCACCAGGTGGTGGCGCTGCTTTCCTGAACGGTGGTTCCCATTTCCTTATCCATGGTGAGTGTGAAAAGGGCCGGGCATGGTGGCTCACGCCTGTGATCCCAGCACTTTGGGAGGCCGAGGCAGGCAGATCACTTGAGCCTAGGAGTTGGAGACCAGCCTAGCCAACATGGCAAAACCCCATCTCTATTAAAATACAAAAATTAGCCACGTGTGGTGGTGCGTGCCTGTAATCCTAGCTACTCTAGAGTCTGAGGCACGAGAATCACTTGAACCTGGGAGGCAGAGGTTGCTGTGGGCTGAGATCGCACTGTTGCACTCCAGCTTGGGTAACAGAATGAGGCTCTGTCTCAGAAAAAAATGGGTGGAGGGTGGACTATGGGGGCACTTAGCTTGTGAGTAGGAAAGGGGCAGACCAGAAATACTCGCGAAACAGTAATAGCTATCACTGAGCCACTACCACAGGCCCAGCATTTTACAAATCCAATGCTGGGATCCCACTGATAAACCAATGATGAGAGAGAAAGGGGATGGATGAAGAGGTGTGTCAGAAGGAGGGGCACCACCAGCGGGAGACGGCAAGTTTGTCTAATAGAGTCATAATTTATTTCTAAGTATGCGTTTAGCATTTTATGTAGAATGTGGCCTCACGCAGGGGACTGAAGAGAGAGTGCAAATATTAGGAGAATTGCATTTTTTGGCACTTGTTTCTGCCAGGCAGTGTGCGTTGGTGCTTAGTGTCTGTGGCTCACTGGGGGCACTGATAATAACTCTGGAAAGTAGGAATGATTGTTGTCATTTTTCAGATCAGACAAGTGGGAATCAGTAGCCAGGCGTGGTGGCTCATGCCTATAATCCCAACACTTTCGGAGTCTGAGGCGGGTAGATTACTTGGGCCCAGGAGTTCGAGACCAGCCTGGGAAACATAGGGAGACCCCATCTCTACAAAAAATATCCAAGCTATTTGGGAGGCTGAGTTGGGAGGATGGCTTGAGCCTAGGAGGTTGAGGCTGCAGTGAACCATGATCACGCCACTGCCCTCCAGCCTAGGCGACAAAGTGAGACCCTGTCTCAAAAAAAAAAAAGGAGGGGGGAGAAAGAAAGAAAAATGGGAAACAGAGAGGTTAAGTAACTTGCCTAAGGTTACCCAGCCACGATCGAAACCCCAGTTTGTCCTGCTGTTCCCTCCTGTGCCCAGCGGAAGACATGGTTCATTCCTTGTGGTTAAAGTTGCTGCCTAGTAAGAAAAGAAAACCAGTTTCCATCTTAGAACTGTTCCAAAATAATTAAAATGGCTTTTTCAGGCTTTTTGTTAATGTCTTAATGCTTCTATCTTTCTGTAAATGTGCTGTTTGTTTGCGTGCTAGAGTGCCCAGTTGAACAAGCTGAGCAGGCTTCCCCCTGCGTCTCCTTCTGCCTCAGAAGAAGGGTCAAGCTTTTTGTCCCTTCCTCCTTCTCTCTCCTTCCCTTCCCCCTCCTGGCCTGCTGTTACTTCAGTCTTCTCCAAGATAGAATGAATAGATTGTTTCTTTCCTTCCTCTATATATTGTTTTAGCTGCAGTTTAGAAACATTCCACCCACATGTTCAAATCATGGCTGTAGAGTTTATGCCTGTTTGTGTCCATGTTATACTTCATTGACTCTGTGCAACTATTCTTCAGGGACCTAGTACTTAAGATACTGTACTCATATTTTTCCGTCTTTACCCACCGCCCACGGTTTTCCCACCCTTACTTGGCTCTCTCTTAGTCATGGACTGGCTTGACCAGTTTAATTACTTTTTTTCTATTTGAAACTTCTATAGGAGAAGACCTCTGAACAGATCACAAATGTTACGTGAGCTTTTTCCTGTTTTCACTCACCTGCCATTTCCAAAAGATGCCTCTTTAAACAAGTGCTTCCTTCTTCACCCGGAACCTGTTGTGGGGAGTAAGGTAGGAAATTTTGAGAGGACTTGGATCTAGAATTTTCTTTACTTGGGATCTGGACTGATGTCATAACCAAGGCCTTCCCTGCATATTGGCTTAGAGGGTGAATTGAGGGGACACCCACACAGTCTAGTTCTCCCCTCCTGCTGCTAGCCAGGAGACTTGCAGGGGCACACCTTGTCATGAAGGCAGGTTTCCAGAAAGTCGTTACCTTGCAAATCTGCCTCCTGCGCTTAACACCTAAGGCAAGCTACTTTTCTATATTAAAAGAAGTAAAATCTTAAAATTTGAAGGACTTCAGTGTACAATCAGTCTGGCTTTCCTACCTTAAATTCCTACCTTAAATTGGAAAGTAGGCAAGCAGCCATGGATGGTGGTCGCTCACGCCTGTAATCCAGCACTTGGCGGGGCTGAGGCAAGAGGATTGCTTGAGCCTAGGAGTTTCAGACCAGCCTGGGCAATATAGCAAGACCCTGTCCCTATTTTTTTAAAAAAAGAAAAGAAAGCTATAAAGGAATAGCTTTACTTCTTCATTTTGAAGAACAGAATAACTTCATTTTGTGGATAAGGAAACTGAGCCCCAGAGAGATTAAGTGAGTTGCCCAAGGACACTCCCTTTACCCTCTAACCCCCAGGGTGGTTTTTGCCAGAAATAAACAATTAAGAGATTTCAGGTAGAGAACTTGAAAGGCAAAAAGTGTGGGAGCCTGGGAAAGATTTGATAGGCAGGCAGCCCAGCTGGGGTGGAAAAGCCCACTCTGCCCCCATCATTTCCCACTTCAGTCTGGGGCCAAGTGCTCAGAGCCAAAGTTACCTCTCTGGGGCCAGTGGACTGGGAGAAGCTGTTCTGCATTTGTGTCTGTTTACTTTTCTCTAAATTGCTCCTTTTGTTAAGTCTCATTCCTAAGGAAGGTTTTTGAGCCTGGATTGGTTTGGGAGAATTAAAAGCATGCATTTTCCTTGGTTAAAAAAAAAAAAAATTTCCCAAACTGTGGCCCCCTACCAACTCTGGACCATGGCTTCCACCTCCTCATACTATTGCTTGGCTCCAGATTTGCTGAATTGTGTTAAAGGAATTTAAAAGTCTATAAAAACAATCATTTTGTCTAGAAGTAAGAAGTTCTGTCTGCCAGCACTGGGGTGGAGATGCTGGGCTCTTGCCTCTGATTTTAAAGAAGTTTATCCTGCTGTCGCCGGCTAGAATTCCAGGCCCTTGTATGATTTCATCTTCATAAATATAATTCTGGGACACGGCCTTTATCTTTCTCTTGGTTTTACCACTTGAATACCAGAGTTAATTTCTCCAGCCTGCGCAACACCAAGGAGCCCAGCCAAAGGAGTAAATACAGAGTTACTCAAATGCTTACCAAAGTCATACTGTGGTTCTCGAGGATGTTTTGGGAAGGGCAGTGGCCAAACAGGCAAAACTCCTGAGAGCCTGATTTCTTAGAGAATCTATTTCCCCACCCTGGCCCGAGCTCTCCTTTCCCTGCAGCCTTGTTACCCCACCCTGTTGTCCACATCCCTGGGCCCTGGGCCCTGGGCCCTGTTAAAGTCACGTGTCTGTGGGCCCAGTATCCAAAGGCAGCCTTAAGACAGAAGTGGGGAGCTGGTTGTTAAGTGGCACTCGGGGAGATGGTGAGGGGCTCCAAGGCCCACTTCACCCACTCCACAGTGTGGCCTAGGGCTGGCCTGTGCTGCCCTGTTGTCTGTTTCTTCCCATCCTGGGAATGGATGACTATGACCCTACCCGCTTCAGGCCTGTGTGAAGAAGGATACAAACACCTGTTTTGGTCCTTCTGAGATTGTTGTGAGGACTACAGATGGTAAGGCTTCCGCCAGTGTGAGTGCCAGTCAGCTGCAGGCTGGCTGAAGACCAGGCTTGTCCCTGTCACCACATTAGCAGGTGAAATGGCTCTAGTGTTGCCATGAAAACATTATGGGCAAGGCCTGTGGCAGCAACAGAGAGACCAGGGCTGGGGACAGGGGAAGACGGGGCCAAAACCCAAGACTCTGGAGGCCGTGAATGGTGAAGAGAAAAACCAAGACATGGCCCAGGGAGTCAGACTTCTAGCTCCCACTTTATATGGGCGTATAAAGGGTTTCTCTGAAGGGCAGGAGATAGGAGGAAGAGATGAGAGAAGAGACCCTAGGGGTTTTCTGTCATCATCAAGGTAAGGAGAAATGTCCCAGCAAGACCCATCTCTTTATCCCTATTCCCTGCCCTGGTCCCAGCCCCATCCCCAGGGTTCACAGCTCCTTCCCTGGCACATAGCAGGTTGCATTTAATGCCCGTTGCCGGCAGTAGCATGCCCTCAGAGGGGCAGTAGTTACCTGTGCAGGTGCATATGCTGGTTGTCTCCTTAGTTTTCAGAATCAGAGGCCAGTCTTAGTGTCATTAGTTTTTAATCAGTAGCATGGCATGCCTGCTGCCCTGGGTCTTGCCAGGCAGTATAAACTTAAACTTACTGCTGTGCAGTTCTTATCAGAGCCCTGCTAGTAAGAAATAACATTCCATGGAAGAGTGCCCAAAGGATGTCCCGATTGTCTATTTATCTAAAAAGTTTTCATCAAACCCAGAATCTCAGAATGTTGTATACACCATTTGTTGGTTTCTGCTAGAACTACCTTTGTTAAATTGCAATTAGGTATTTTCCTTTGGCTTACTTTGAAGCTGTGGCTAAAACTAGTTGCAAATTATGAAGCTCATGCAGAATCTGCTCTGGGGCTCTCGCTGAGGGGATTGCCCACTAAATCACACAGAGTCTCTTTAGGAGACCCACAGAAGAGATTTTACTCTGGTCTTAGTGCCAAAAGATGCCATTCTTAGGAGAAGTAGTTTGTTTTTGTCTTTTGGACGTAATTGCAAATTTTTGTTATTGGTTCTATTTCCTCTTCGCTCAGGCTAGAAAACTCAGAGCCATATGTGAAAGCATTTTTATTTACTAAAGCCCCTGGTTTTATTTTGTTTTCTTTGCCTTCCTTTTCCTCCCCTCCTCGTTCTTTCCTCCAGATGCATGAGATGCGTGACCTATTTATCATGGGCAGCGGCGAGGCCATGTTGCAGCTCATCCCTCCCTTCCAGTGCCGAAGACATTGTCAGTCTGTGGCCATGCCAATAGAGCCGGGAGATATCGGTATGTAGGGCCCCAGGAGGGCAGGGTCAGCCATGGATCTTTTTAGTTTTTAATTCAAAAGCTATTTTAAGAATCGTGTACTGCCTTCACAGAAGTTCTATTTAGTAGAATCAAAAATAACATTCTCCTATTAACAGGCTCAACATTTATGCTTAGAAATGAAACAACTTAATGAGAAAACATAGCAGAAAGAAATGTCTTGTACGTACAACATATAGAATGCATGTGTCTGTTGATCATAGAAACTTCAAGTTAGGAAGGATTCTGGAAAGTATTTAGACCAATCCCTCATTTTATAGATGAAAAGGTTGAGACCCAGAGAGGAGAGGTGACCACCCCAAGGCCCCACTATCTGTTGAGCAGAGCATCAGGTCTTAAGTGCCTGCTTGGACACAGTCAAGCCAGGAGAGGGACAATCCAGGACTACAGGAATATACACCCATGTTGCAGATAAACCAATACCAAGCAGTATATAAGGGCAATGGTCACACAAGGAAATATTACCTTCTGTGTGGCTGCCACAGCCAAGTCACAGCCTCACATTGATGACTCACCCTTGGCCCTGGCTCAGTGTTTTCCCAAATGTGACTTGTCCTGTGCCTTATATCCTAAAAATCTGTTCCAAAGAAACAGGTTTGAATCCACTGCTGTCAGTAGCAATCAGTTTGACAGCCGAGTTTTCTTGGAAGAAGCAAATAAATCAGCAAGTGTCACCATTGACCTCCTTGCTTTTCCTGCCTCACAAAACCTAGGCAAGACCTGGAGTCTCTGGCAGAGCCCAGAGTGGGTTTTCCAATTGATTTCTTTTAATTTTACCCATTCAAAAGACCCCCAAATCCCCAGAAACCTTGCATCTTACATGACGGTAGGAATTGGACTGCAAGCTATGCCAAGTTTTAATTTAAATTACATAACTTTTATTTCAATTTAGAAATGAAAAATAAAAATAATGTACAAATCAAGGATTAACTAATAATGGAGCACAGCTGGCCTGGCTCTTGGGAAACTTCCTACAAAAAGGAGGATTGTTATATGGAAATTGTTCTGAACCTTTTTCCTGTAATGGAGTGACTCTTAAGAGATGACTATTGCGAAAATCTCTCTGGCATATTTAGGTTTGGAGCGTGTGGTTGTGCTTGAACAAGTTTCTGTCTTATATTTTACAAATGCCTAACAATTCAGACAACTACAGAAACACCTTAGTTATCTGAATTTCAGACTTCCGGCTCCCACAAACAACCAGAATACCAATTATAGAATTAGGGAAGAAAAAAAAAAGAAATGTCTGGCAGTAATCAAGAAAGCTTGAGCATCAAATGCTGGTACAGATAGTCCAGATTAGCCTGACATCCAGTGCGTGATACCTGCTGTGCTGTGCCTGACTGGTTTGTTGACTAGAAAGAAAGGATCCCTGTAGTTGGCAGTGTCTATAAAAGGCCAGTTACATGACAGAACACAGAGAGGGATGGTGACTGAAGAGAAGAAGAATAGGAGAGCAAGTCCGGGAGAAGAATGGGGGCAGGGAGGGGTGGGGAAGCCAGCGAGCACCTGAAGCAGTGACAGAAATAGACGTGATGACTGTAACTGCCACAGTTAACAGTGAGGACAGGAAAGCAGGCCCTGGCCAAGAAGAATCATTTAGTGTTGCAGGACAGACGGCGGTTCCTCTACCTTAGGGACCCTTAAGAATGGCACCACAACATGCAACTTCTATGATTTTTGACAAAACATACATTGTTCTGTGGAGATGGAGGAAAGAAGGGTTCCAGGTCCAGAAAACCTTTCGGGGGTCAGGTACAATATCTGCAGTCACTGTACAGGACAGTCATTGCCCATCATGACCCTTCCGGAGTCACCAAGTAAAAGTTGAATTCTACTCAGTGCTCTTCGTTTAAAGATGAGCAGAGCCCATAGTACTGTAGAACCTATTTTCTTTGGAATATCTTACAGGACTCTACTGTTTGCTGAACCCAATTTGGGCAATGCTGGTTTAGGTTTAGGTTAATCTGGATGTTGTGTAATGAAACCGCATTATAGAAAGACACAGGAAAATTGGCTAGTAGGTCTTATGCCCCCTCAGAATCCATTCTGTCTTCTTGCTGTAAAAGCTGAGACTTGATGCCCAACACCAGCCTCATGTAGAGCATCCTGCCTTTGTAAGCCTGCTGAATTGTGATTCATAGTTCCCTGGGTGAGGGGCAGTGATAAAGCATTTAAAGAGGACTGATAATAACTAGGAAATGCCAAAAGACTTTCAGAGCAATTTGTCTTTAAGCCAGGAGTGGTGGTCCACACCTGTAATCCCAGCACTCTGGGAGTGCGAGGCAGGAGGATCACTTGAGCCCAGGAGTTCAAGACTAGCCTGGGTAATATAGTGAGACCGCATCTCTTAAAAAAAAAAGAAAAGAAAAGAAAAGAAAAAGAAAAAAAGAAACTAAATTAAATAGAAAAAGATTTGTCTTTGACTCTGCAGGGCCAGCTCTGGCAGACCCGCCTTGCTCTGCCCATAGTTGTGTCCACCCACTAACATTTACATGTTTTCCTCTTGCTATTTCCCCTCAAGGCTATGCCAGCACCACTCACTGGAAGGTCTACATTATAGCCAGAGGGCTCCAGCCTTTGGTCATCTGCGATGGAACCACTTTCTCAGAACTGTAGGAAATAGAACTGTGCACTGGAACAGCTTCCAGAGCCGAAAACCAGGTTGAAAGGGGAAAAATAAAAAACTATGAAACTGCTTTCCAGGGGTTGGTTACTTAGTTACCTGCCCTTTGCATGCATGTGTGAACCAGCTGTGAGCTGCAAGGCAGTGGCCAGGGCCTAGCCCTCCTGACTCTTCCTGCAGATGGCTCAGGAAGGATTCAGCCTGGCCACTTGGCTAGGACTCTGCCAGCACCCATCTGAGACTGACCTCTTCCGGGCCTTTGGGCACTAAGACCTTGATGCTGCCCCTTAGGCAGGAAAGAGGGCTGGTGCCTGCCTTCGCCTATATTGCCAGCTTCCTTCCCTGGCAGTGGAGAGGGCAGCCAACAGGTTCTGATGTCAGAGCCATCCTTTACCAGGTGGGCCTGCTCGTCCCCATCTTCCTGGCCACATCACTCTACTTTTTGGAAAGCCATGGCTGATTAAAGAAGTTCTTGTAGTTTCCCAAACAAAATGGAATCTAGAAGCAGTGATAAAAGGTCAGATAACTTTGAATTGCATTGAAGCAGTACACTTCTTTCCCATTGTCCGTGGCACTTGGAGTTTCTGATGCCAGGCTAGAGTCTGATCATATAATAATTCAAAGTGGTAACTCCCAAGGTAATACTTTCTTCCATTTCATCAGGTTCTTATATCCCCACTGCACTCCTTCCCCTTCTCCCTTGCCTGTCTGAATGGCTTCTTGGAAGCTTGGCTCTAGTCCTCCCTGCTTTGGCAGGGCCAGAGCCCACTACTGCTGAGGCAGCACTGCTCTTGTCAGCTGTGTTGCCTTTACCAAGTGTCTTCAGAGGGTTATGAGTTAGAGTAGCTGGCCTGGGGAGAGGGTGCCTCCCTGGGTTTGATCTTTAGGGTCTGACTTTCTGCAGAGAAGATGTTTTACAGATGTGTCAAAGCTGATGTTGTAATGTGGTTGGGGGAGGAAATCCAGACCCAAAGTGTTTGTCAGCTGGGTGTACAACTGACTGTGTGATCCTCTGTCTTAAAATGATTTCTGTCTGTGCTGGGAAACAAAAACAAGGTGAGGTATTTTTCTTTTTTGTAATAATATAAAGCTGTGTGTTTCTGATTGGATGATTCACTATGTGCATTGTTTTCTCCCAAGTGCTTTCGGTATATAGCAATCAAATGGTGTAAATAAGGATGTTCTTTTCCTGTTCCTTTTTTTTTTTATTTTTTATTGACACCGCTAGATACCTGGCCATTGGTCATGCCAATGCCAGGATGAAGAAAAAGCAATCTACACTTTGGCCTCTGGTTCTGAATTGCAGAAATCAAATGGATACAGTACGTGTCGATGTCAGAATTATGGATCAGAGGCAGACAGTGATGAGTGAAGATGGTTGTGAAGCCCTCTTCATTCCTGGAGGAGCCTGCATCTCATCTCCCAGGCCCTCTTTCTCTGTGGGTCTCATGCCCAGCAGTGGGGAGCACTGAGCACTTGAATGGCCTGTTTGTCTGTGGGCTTGCAGAGGACAAGCAGAGTTCACAGAGCTCAGGGTGGAAACATCAGAGCCTCCTCCACGGGCTTCAGTGAAACTAGGATGAACTGTACCTGAGGGAATTTTTTCTTAATCAACCCCTTGTGTGGATGAATACAGGAAAAACAAAACTTGTGTACATATAAAAGTCATGCTGTTAAGCTGCTATGATTTAAGAGGTTTTAAGTCAGAGGGATCATGTAGAGGCCGGCTTTGCGTAAGCTTTTACAGCCTTCTGCAGTGTTCTTACCCTGGCCGCACATGGGGAACGGCTACATGTAAACAAGTACTTTAGAGGCCTCTGAGAGTTTTTAAAAATTAGACCCGTTAACAAAAAAGAGGGTTTCTTAGGAACAAAGCAACTATTTTGATTATTGAGATCTCTGTTTTGTTTCCGTGAGTTACTCTGTGTTCCTTTCCCCCATTTCACTCCTGCCGTTCACATCTTAAATGTCCATAAAATACCCATTCAGCTCAAAACTTTGAAAACGAAGAAACCCTTGCATGTGTTAGTATTCTGAGGCATCCCCTGGGAAAGTCTCCTAAGCCCCATTTTGTACTTCAACAAAAAAATGACTGTAGCAGAAGATAAGTAGAGACTTTTATGCATACGCTACTCATTTTACTTACAGTCTACCCAGTTCAGACTTGAATGTAAACTTGTATTAGGAGAGAATTCTCCAAAGAGGGTTTTCTAGATAGACAGAGGCAGTTCAACTTCCCAAGTTAATTTTGATAAACAGAATCTACTAGTGGCCAGAGCGACGGGAGTAGCTGGGGGTTGCCAGCCAGTCCCTTTCTAATGATCAAGGCCCTGAGCAGCAGGATGCCACAGGATGCCCCTGCCATCTAGCTGGAAGCAGCAGAAGTCCCTCTGCATGACCTGGTGTGGGAAAGAGGGTTGTCAGGATGAGAAAGCAAGCTTGCAGGGTGACGACAGGACCACCTCACCAATTCCCCACCTCCACCACCACAATAAGAACAAAACTGTAGGGCTCTAAAGAGAGGGGGTGGTTTATAAGTTTATTGAGCATTTACTAGGAGGTGACATGGCGATGACCTCTGCGCATGAGTTAGGTTCACTTTCTTGTAGCCTCCCACCATAGAGACGCCTGTGCCCAGAAGTCAGCTCTCTGAGGAGACAGGCTACTGTGGCCCCAGTTTGAAGCATTTCTGTCCAAATGTCCTGAGCTCTCCAGCAGTCAAGTAGTGAATGGATACCATACTTACTATGGTTGATGAATGGAGACAGAGCTTGTCCTCAAGTTTTTTTAGGGAAGAGAGGGAATAAAATAAAAGTGATTCAAACTGGGCACGGTGGCTCACACCTGTATGCCCAGCACTTTAGGAGGCTGAGGCAGGCAGATCACTTGAGGTCAGGAGCTCAAGACCAACCTGGCCAACAGGGTGAAACCTGTCTCTATTAAAAATACGAAAATTACCCGGGCATGATGGTGGCGCCTGTAATCCCAGCTACTCGGGAAGCGGAGGCAGGAAAATTGCTTGAACCCGGGAGGCGGAGATTGTAGTGAGCCAAGATCGTGCCACTGTACTCCAGCCTGGGCAACAGAGCGAAACTCTGTCTCAAAAAAAAAAAAAAAAAAGTAGTTGTGCCAGGTGTGGTGGCTCACGCCCGTAACCCCAACACTTTGGGAGGCTGAGGCAGGCAGATTGCTTGAGCTCAGGAGTTGAAGACCAGCCTGGGCAACATAGCGAAACCCCGTCTCTACAAAAAAATTTTTTTAATTAGCCAGGTGTGGTGTCACACTCCTGTGGTTCTAGTTACTCGAGAGGCCGAGGTGGGAGGATCACTTACCCCCCCGGAGGTGGAGGCTGTAGTGAGCTGTGATTGTACCACTGCACTCCAGCCTGGGTGACAGAATGAGACCCTGTTTCAAAAAATAATAGTGGTTTATGAAAACAGAAATCCACTATTCAATGAAATATAAAACAGTCTATGAAATGGGCAGATTGGGGGGCTCGCTTTCTGAGAGAAAAGAATAACAACACTTGTCTAGTACATTCCAGTTTACAAAGTGCCTGATATACATGATCTCCTTTAATCTTCACCCAATCCTGTAAAGTAGGTGTTAGATCCTCATTTTACAAGGAAATAAGTGGAGACTGAGAGCAGTTAACTGCTGGCAGGTGAGTAGCTGGTTCCATAGCTCATCATTTTCCTGCTGCATCACAGCATGGTGCCCAGGAAGAGAGCTGTGGATGTCGTTGTCTCACATGTGTCCCCGTTGGAGTGGGAGAAGCCAGGGATGGGGAACAGCAAGCCAGGAACTCCGCAGGGTTTGTTTTTAAAACTCTGCTGGACAGAGTGGAGGAGGAAAGAATATTACCATATGACTTTTATAAAAATGCTTTCACTTTTCCCCTCCCCATTTGAAAACTCTTTTTAAGAGTAAATGTAGCTGAAACACACTGTGTCCAGCCATTTTCCTGTCTCCACATTCTTCCAGATGTGTGACAGGGGAGGGATTCTGCCCCATTCCAGTTGTGGGTCCCCTTGGAGTTTACATCACTTGTTTTTCAATTCTTGATTTTCTGTTCCCGTCTACCAAAACCCAGCATAGGCCTCAGTGTACACTTACGTTAAAACAAAAACTCACATTTGTTAGCTGCAGGTGATGGCCTCAGTCATTTTAATACAGCCTGGAATGAGTTTGCTCATTACCCAATCCCTTTCACAGTGAATGTTCAAACCCCAAAGCAAATGTTTGCATCTCCTTGTCCATAAAGGAGAAAGCCGGGTTATAGGAGAAAGAGAGGGAAAGGTGCATGTCTGTTTGCACAGAGAGAGGTGATTTTGTCTACCTTTCGAGAATCAGTTATTAAACAGAAGGGCCTCTTAGGATTTTGAGCTCTCCTAACAATGAAGGAAAAGCTCTCTTGAGTATACAAGTCCCACACTCATTACCTTTCAGTGGTGAGCCATCACCCACTAGAACTCGTTGAAGGAAGGGAGTGTCAGAGATGTGCTTTAAAATTGTACTTTAGGCTGAAATTCTCTCCATGTTTGGACCTACAGATGTGTACAGAACCAACGCGTGTCAGGGTCAGGAAGCTAGGAGGGTGAAGGCGCTTACGGAAACAGCCCTGTAGCGATTGAAACACGGGAGCCTCCGGGAATGTGCTTGTGTCACCAGCAGCAGGCATTTCCCTGTCCTCCCCACCCCCAGTCTCCACATCCCCAGCGGCCTCTTCCAGAAGCATGTCAGGGAGACAGACAGGTGCTGTCTCTCTCGTGCACCACATCCAAGTCCACCCACCGTGGACACAGTATGACTAAATGCTGGCCTTGAAGAGAAACCGTCTAGCCAGCTTGTCTGTTGTCCAGGTCCCTCACTGTCTCTGGTTTCCCTGCCCCGCATAATTTGAGCATTAGTGCTAAATACATCTGTCATTTTCCTCTCCCTGGAGACCGTGAAATGTCCAGACTTTTTCAGACTAGTGGAGGGAAGGAATGTTACGTAACTAAGTGGAGGCCTGGAACTGTCAGGACTTGATAGGGCTGGACCAGAGACCCTTCCGCCTCTACCTAGTGTGTCTGTCAGGCAGGCAGTGGCCATCAGTCCAAGAATGAGCCACGGCGGCAAGCACCGTGTGGAGAAGGGAACCCAGCTGAGTTCTGAGTTTCAGACAGAAACTGGGGAGTTGGGACCTCTCTGTGCCAGGCTTCGTTGACACCATTGCTCCCCACAGCAGCTCCTTGGGGCAGGGGGGTCACCTGTGCGGCCACCCTTACTCACAGTGGCATCCCATTCTTCACACTGCAACCCCTCAGCACTGTGGACCCTTCCAGGAAGGTGACAGGAGCCAGCAGACACATGGCGTTCCCAGAGAGCCCCATCTTATCACAGACAGACTGCCCTCCATACTTGTTTCCACAGTTTTACCCTCAAAAAAATGCTGTCTGCAGTCTTCCCTTCCTTCACCCCCACCCTAGGTGGGGGGTCAGTAACCAATGCTGAGGGCCAGGGACGGAGGAGGCACAGGCAAGCTAGGGACTCAGCACAGTGCTCCCCACCATCATCAGGGGCAGGTGCCAGGGTCAGCTGCAGCTCCTTCAGGGAGCAGGGTGTGGTGGGCCTGGATGGTCCCAGGGAGCAGAGGGAAGCAGGCAGCTGTCCCAGCCACAGGGGCTCCGAATGGCTTGAGCTTTTACTATGTGTTCTAGTGCAGGATACTGCAAACTGGTAAAGACGTCCACCATGTGAAGAATGTATGTAAATTAAAGTTTCGTGTAATGAAGGTTTTTACTTTTTGCAATTAAAAGTGTTGGTTGATAAGAACTTTCCTCTTGTTGGTGTCATTCTTTAATTTCCAGTTTTCTCGTTTCCTCTTCTCCCATGACATGAGAGACTTCTAGCCATATCCTACTCGTGAGGCCGGCCTATGGGGCTCCTCTGTGCCCGCCTGCCTTTGGTCTCTAACGTTTGCACCCAGCACTGTCCTTGCATTCACAGCCTCCACTTTCTCCCCACCCTAGACCTTACCCACAGTGGCTTCTCATCTGCTGTTCCCATGAATTCTCAAATCTCAGTCCTCCCCTGAGGGTTAATACCCTCCCGCTCCCCTG